CTGTCTGAGCCTCTCCCTTAACCTGCCAAAGGGAATGACAGTGGCTCGAGTGCAGAGACCTGAAAACCAAGGGCCGTGCATCCCCAGGTGGGCCGCTTAACCTCTCTGTGCTCCAGCTTCCCGGTCTGTGAAATGACGACAGCAGATGGTCGTGAGGATCCGGAATGTTCACGCCCGTGAAGAGCTGGAAGCGTGTCCCCCCGATGGAGTACTCAAGCTGGCTCTCACCGTCCTCGGCAGGTCCCCCACTGCCACCAGCGGGCGGGTCAGGAGCCCCAGTCCACGTGGAAGCCCACATGTGTGAGGTAGCATTCCCGGGGGCTGGGGTCCCCCTGCCCCTCCGTTCCCGCTGGACCCCCGCTCCTCTGGGATGCGGCTGCTGGGGGCGTGGGTGGTGAGGCGGGGCAGGAAGGACGGTCACCTGGCCGGGGCCAGGTAGGAGTGCACCCCTGGGGCCCGGCATGGACACCCAGCGTGGATGCCCCGCATGGACGCCCCGCGTGGACACCCAGCGTGGACGCCCAGCTCCCCTCAGGTGAGCAGCGCAGACGACGGAAACGTCTCCCACCCGTGAAGCACAAGCTGGGTGTCGGTTTCCTCTCAGGCTGACACCCCGGACATTGTGGGCTGAGAACTGGCCCTGCCCAGCGTCAGCCCCTCCCAGCCCATACCCCACTCTCCCTCCCCGCATGCTCTCCCCACAGGCCCCGAACTTAAGACACCACTTCAGAGACAACCTTCTAGAAGTGACCGGTCATCTTGGGAACTGGAGGGATTCTCCCTCTGGGGCCTGGGTGCCCACGGCCTCCACAAAGCAGCAGCTGAGCTGCCTGGACACCAGAGGCCACCATCAGAGCCATGCAGGCCAGGGGGCCACATGAGAGCCACACAGGCCAGAAGCCACGTCAGAGCCACGTGGGCCAGGAGCCACATCAGAGCCACACAGGCCGGAAGCCACATCAGAGCCACATGGGCCAGGGGCCACGTCAGAGCTACACAGGCCGGGAGCCATGTCAGAGCCCTGCAGGCCAGTGACCCTGGCTGGGAAGAGGCCCCACCATGGACTTGGGGTCCTGACTAAAGGACGTCCCGCAGAAGTGCTCAGACTCGCACTTCTCCGTCCATCCTTTTCCTCTCTTCGTGCTTACCAGGAATTTACCCTTTTCTTTATAACTGTGAAGCGTGTTGCTATAAAGCTGCTGCCTCCTCTCTCACTAGGGACATCGTAGGGTCCACGCAACGCGCCTTGCTTGCCCAGGACCCCAGGGAATATGTTTGCTGATTGCCACGCTGATGCCTGTGGGCCTGGCTGGACACGCCAGGGACGGGGGCGCTGAGGCCACAGAACTCTGGGGCCAGGCAGTCAGGGGTGCTCGGTCCGATGAGAGTCCCGGGTGACAAACCCCATGCCCGCTCTCCAAACTGTCCTTGCCGAGGCTTGAGAAATGAAGGCCACACTCAACTGGCTTTCCTGATGCCCTGCGGCTGACCCCAGATGGCAGGCCCGGCCTGAGACCTGACCACGGTCCATGGGCACCTGCCTGAGCCGGGGTGCTCAGGGGTGAGCGGCTCATGGCGATGGTGCCCTGGTCTGACGGGCAACCCCGCCTACAACCACTGAAAGCCACAAAAGAGGCGCATGCGTGGCTGTGGTGGCAGAGACGGGGGCCATCGCTGTCCCAGGCAGAGAGCAGAGGGCAGGCACGGGCCGAGTGCACAGCTCGGGCACCCAGACCGCGTGGCACAGACAGTGAGGGGCAGCTTCTCGGCATCCTGGAGACACAGGAGGGTCCCGTGCAACCTCTCACCGTGTGAGTCGGGGACAAAACCACAACGGGTCACTTCGGGAGATATTGAAATTCAACATCTGCCATCTGCATCGTGGCACCAGCACAGGAGTCAGGCCTGGACACGGATGAGCAGAAGATGGGGCCAGTGAGGGACTTCATCCCAACGGGGAGGCAGGCTCTGGGGCCAGTGGGGCCAGTGGGGCCAGGGGGGCCAGTGGAGACAGCGGCCGCCAGCGGAAGGGCCGGCCTTGCAGGTCACTGGGTGGTCGCTCACAGTCCTCACTAGGGGCCCCTGCTGGCGGGCCAGCCCTGCCTCTGCACCTCTCCACCCCGTCCTTAGGAACCACGTGCCTTGTCACAGCCCCGCATCAACCCCCCGAGGGCCTCCCGTGGGGCAGACACTACTGTTCCCCCGTTGGGGCCTGCTGTCACTAACCGTGAGGCAGAGGGACGAAGGGGAACCGCGGGCCCCAGCCAGCTACCTGCCTGTCCCTCCATGCCCCCAGCAGGGGAGCCACCTGGGCCAGAGGCCGGAAGCGCTGGCTGGAGGGAGGGGCCAGATGTGGGGCCGAAGCTCGGGGTCCAGGACACACAGGTGGTCAAATCTGATGCACCGGCCGGCAGCTCACCGGGGGCACAGGGAGACCCTCTCGGGCTGGGGAGCTGTGTGCAGACGGGGAGCCTTGAAACTGCACAGTGGTTGTGGAACTCGGCCTCGGACCCTGGGGTGAAGGGCGAGGTGACAGGGACGGCGGCCGGAGCACATGCCTGCACAGAGTGAGGCAGCAGGTGTCCCCCAAGGTGGGAGGCTAGAGGGCCAGGACCTTCTGTCCCGGCAAACACAAATGAAGGACCAGAGTCTGAAGGCAGCATCCATGAGGCGTCCTGCACTCTGGAGATTCCGGGTGTCGGGGGCTGGGCCGGGATTCGGGGGCCTGGGGACAGGCAGAAACCAGGCCTGGCTTGCTGCTCCCAGAGGGAGGAGAGGACGCAGGGTGAGCAATCCAGCGGCAACTCCAAGTGACAGTGAGGGAAGAGACCATGAATACACACACACACAAACTCACACACGTGCACACATATATGCACATGCATATTCACACTCACACGCATGCACACATATGCACGCACACATGTGCTCACATGTGCGTTTGTATGCACACATATGCACACACGTGCTCACATGTGTGCACACATGCACACATATGCACACATGCAAACTACACTGCACACAAACTCACATGTACACATGCACACTCACACGCACATGCACACAGAAACACACACACATACACATGCATGTGCAAAATCACAGACATGTACACACCTGTGCACACACGCAAACACACATGCACGTGCACATAAACTCACTTGTATGCATGTGCACACAGGCCAACTCACACACACACATATATGGAAATGCACACACACGTGCACACACATGCACACACCTATACATGCACACACACAAACTCACACTATGCATGCATGTGCACACACACACGCACACACCTGGGTACACACATGCAAACACACACGTGCACGCACAGTCACTCGTATACATGTGCACGCAGGCAAACACACGTATGAAAACACACACATGTGCATACACACGGACACACCTATGCGTGCACAGAAACTCACGCACGTGCATACATATATGCACACTCACGCACGCACTTCCAAATGCACAAGAAGCTGTGAGAAAAGGAAATCGCGGGAGGACGTCAGGACTCAGAAGCCCAGGCCAGGCAGGTACCTGACACACCTCTGCTGCCGGAGACTTGGAGTTTCTAGAGCCCATCATCTTCACAGGGCAATCGTAGCAAAGAGGGGCCTGAGCGGGGTGGGCTGTGAGGTCACAGTTCTAACGGAAGCCTGTGCCTCCACAGGCCCCACAGCAAACACTGACGTGGAGAGACCTCGCACAGGGGACGGCGAGGAACGTGACCTTCGACCCGGCTCTGCACAGAGGGGTCCCCCCAGGAACACGTGCACACACCTGCCAGGCACGTGAAGCCCATCCGGGTACCTGGCAGAGGGAAGGCCGCTCTTGATGGAATTCACCACCAGCAAAGCTGTCCAGGGGTTTCCGGCAACATTCTCACAAATACGAGCTCACCAGCAAAACCACAAAAAATCCTTGGAGGCAACAAACCCCCAGGAGTCCCAGCCAGCAGCTTCTCCCCCAAAAGCAGGGATGGAATCCCTTCTAACGCACAAAACCCACACGGCAGGGAAACCGGGAGCGAGGGGCGCAGTGCGCTCTCGGGAGATGGAAATCGGTCACCAACAGAGCAATGGTGGCAGGGCGCCAGGACACGAGGACACAGGAGGGCGAGACTCAGAGCCGCTTGGGAAGGGGTGGCAGACCAGGCTCCTCCGGGGCTCCGGGGACACGGCCCCTGGCCCCCGCCCCCTGAAACACAAGGCCCGTGTGGCTGAGTGGATGTGGGGACGCCTGCAGAGCAGCACCCCACAACCCAGCAGGAGACCAGAAAACCCAAAGATGGCTCTGACCAAGCTGAGAGGAAAGGTGGAAAATCCTGGCAGCCAGGCCGCACAGCAGGGACACCCAAGGGGAGGCCACCTTCCATCCGCTAGAGGACTCCACCACGGAGAAGCGTGCAGGCAAAGCGGGAGGCCTGGGACAGGAGGGGCAGCCAGAGGCGCTCCCCGTGGAGGGTTGGCCTGTCTGACGGTCCCCCGGCTCGCAGGCCACGGCCAGACCTCCCAACAGAACATCTGACATGCGCAAGTATCCAGAGGGCGGGTTCAGCCAGAGGCTGGGGTCTGAGCACGAATTTCCCGATACACACATGGAAAACCAAACTGCAAGAGTAAATAAGTAAATAAAAATACAAGATACCAGAAAGATTTTTGCAGGAAAGCAAAAGCAGCCCAGCCCTGAACGGCATTTACAAGGTTGTGAAGCGGAAAAGGCCAGGGCTGACCCGGCCAAAGTGCACCTGCTCAGGGACCAGCGCTGGCGGCCCTGCCTTGTTGTCCTCACACGTCATGACAGCCCCCTCGCCTTATCGTCATCCTCACATGTCATGGCGTCCCCTGCCTTGTCATCATCCTCCCACATCTGGGCGCCCCCTGCCTTGTCGCCATCCTCCCGCGTCATGGCACCCCCTACCTCATCGTCCTCACACGTCATGGTGCCCCTGCCCTGTCATCGTCCTCACACGTCATGGCGGCCCCTACCTTGTCGTCGTCCTCACACGTCAGGACGTTAGAGAACGGGATCTCTGCCTTGAACATCTTCCGACAGTGCATCAGCTGCACGAGCAGGTAGCACACGGTCTTGAACTTCATCCTCTTGGCTGGTTTTATGTCAGAGAGGATCAGCCCTGGAAATATCTGTGCCGACACGTGGCACAAAGAAACCCGGTGAGGACACCCGTGCTGCCCCTCCAGCCTGGAGCATGAACGAGACGGGAACACTCCAGGAGATCATGGGGACCAAACAAGTGAACAGAACCGGCACCAGGTCCCACAGCACAGAGCCGCACCCACGGCCTCAGAAAACCAGAGTGAAGCCGGCATCCAGGGGCAGAACAGCGGACAGCTGTGGGGCCAGGCCAGGGGGAGACCCCAGAAGCCTGGTTAAGGACCACACATGCCGACCCCCATGGTCCCTGCCCCTCAGAGACCACCCTCCACTCCCACCCCCCTGGGGCCCAGTGCTAACCCCTCACCTGGCCCTCCTCCAGGCCCTGCTGGCAGCTGCCACTCTCTCCCCTTCTTCGCAAGCCCAGCCTGTCCTGGCCCAGGGCCACCCCCACCCATGGTCCCCAGGCTACAGGGACTGCTGCATCTCAGGGACTGCAGAGCCCTGATCTGTGGGCATACCACGACAGCGAAGCTTGAAGCTGTCCCCCACATATGACACGCTTATGTCCCGAAGGAGAGCTGGGGCCACCTGTGCCCTGCACCCTCACCTGTGTCCTGAGCCCCCCACTTGTGCCCCGAACCTCTCACCTGAGCCCTAAAAGGAACAGGTCACCTCTAATCATATCCAGATCAGCTTCCTTGGACACAGTGACCTCAAGTGCCCCACACGATCCTCCTGTGAGCACAGCACCCCTCAGCGTACCCCCCACCCCCACCTGTTTTCCAGGAGAGGTAGTAAAGGACCAGGGAGGTGAGGAGGGAGGCTGCAGGAGGCCCAGCCCCCGAGAGGACCCTGCGATCTGACGGAGGGTCTAGGAGCTCACAGCCCCTGCCCCACACACACCCCATGCCCCCCCACGCACCCCTCCCCTCACACCCCTCCCCCCACCCCGAAGGCCTGGCCCAGGGGGTGGGCACGCCATCCTGTCTGTGTCCACGCAGGAGGGTCCTGGCGCCCACCTTCCGCCGATGTGACGGCACGATGAAGAAGGTCTCGATGTTGTGAGCTTTCAAAAAACTGTTCCTCTCGTGTCCGTGACCCGGCTCCACCTCATAGTCCCCGTTCAGGCACGCTAGGGTCGTCTTCGTGATGTGGACCTTCCTGCAAAACACAGCAGAGGCGTCCCTGAGTACAGGCACGTGCAGGAGAAGCGGTCAGGCTCGCTGAGTCACACATGTCACACGCAGGTCACCGGGGAAGGGAGGGGGCGGGAGCCTAGCCACAGGGACGATAAGAACCTTCAGCAGGACGGAAGACAGCAGTGGGGTGAGGGGAGAAGCAGAGTGTCCCTGAGACCTCTGGCCCTGCCCAGTCTCACTGTCCCCACACCAGATGGAGCGTTCACACTCATCCCGGCACATTTTGTGGCGAGAAGGAGAATCCGTAGTCGATGCCTCCCCACACCCGCCCTGGAGCAGAACCGTGAGCCTGAAAACCCATAGCAGCCCCAGAACCCCTCAGCCCCAGTGCCTCCCAGAGACCTGAGCGTTGGGGTCTGCGGAGAAAAGCAAATTCCCCAGTGTGCAAAGTGGTCCTCAAACCACCATGTCTCCTTGATTTCCTGCAGGGACCAGGGCATTCAAGCAGGGTGAGAGTCCTCACCGCTGCGAGGGACTCTGTCACCCGCCAGCCTGGCCCAGAACTGCACAGGGACAGCCAAGCAGCAAGGGTCTCTGGAGAGGCAGGGGAGCATCCTACATTCAGGGTCCTCCATCCATAGCAGAGACGGGAGCTGCACACAGTCACTGAGCTGAGGGTCCCCCGGGTCACAGAAATCTCAGCAACTGCTCTCAGTGCAGAGCGCTCCAGGCTCTGGAAAGAGGGGGTCTCGGGTGCAAGCATGTGGTGGGAGTGGAGGCCCCCGCGGGTCCCAGCTGGGATGTGGCCTGGGGACAAACGGGAGGCCTGGCCAGCCCGGGGCCGCAAGGCCAGTGAGACAAGGCCCCACCTTCACCAGCGAGCACTGCCTGCCACTGGCCCCGGGTGCTCACTCGCCCCATGTCTGTGGTGAGAGAGCGTCAGCCCCAGAAGCTCCCTCCCAGGACGCGAGCAGGGCTGGGATGCCAGCACCCACTGTCTCAGTCCTGTGGGATCAGAGGCCCAGCTATGCGTGTGACTATCCCAGACGGCAGGGGCAAGGGGACATAGGGTCCGGGCCTGGAGGCCCCCCTGATCCTGGAGCCAGGGAAGACACAGGTGACTGTGCTTCCCCTAGGGCCCGCTGGGCTCGGGGAGTTTACTCAGGACCCAGCGCTGTCTGCTCCAGGGCAGCCTGGAGCGAGCACCTCGCGCATCAACTCGGGGAATTGGCCACAGTACCAGGCAGCAGGTATAAAGGGTCGGTTTTAGACAGGAGATGCACGTGAAGAGTGGGTGTGTTTGGCCTCCTCCGGTTCCACCCCTGCCTGGCCCTGGCCCCTTTAGGGCGACTGCTCAGGGGGTCCAGTTTGGGAAGGGGCCCAGGAACCCAGCCTCAGGGGTCTCAGCGTGAAATGAAAGCCATGCAGTGACAAGATACACCTACCTGTCCGTCCACCCACCCATCCGTCCACCCACCCGTCCGTCCACCCACCCATCCGAGTCTAGTCACGCTCTCTGAACACCCCGTGGTGGACGGCGTGTTTGCTGAATGGGTAGACGGGGGGGCGGGGAGGGATAGGTCAATTGGGGGCTGTGATGGTCCACGGGAGAGGTGCTCAGGGACGGCCAGGCTCACAGATGACAATCATCTCTGAGCACACTTGGAAAGGCCTCAGTGTCAGGCGGGTGCTGTGTGTCCCCCACAGTCTGTCCAGGAGGGAAGGAGAAAGATGTGTCCCCAGGAACCAGGTCTCTGGGGCAGGCAGAGGGCAGGCAGTGAGGGACAGGGGAGGGGCAGAGCCCTGGAGGCACACACGGCCGGGAGCTCAGGAACAGACACTGCACGGCCAGCACAGGTGCGAGGGTGGCTAACGCTCACTCCAGCGTGGGGGCCACGTGAGCCCTGGTGGCACATAGCTGTGCCTGGCGGCCCTTCTCCCGTGGCTGCCGCTGAGCGGGGGGAGGGAGAACCCCACTCTTGCCTTGGCTGTGGGCCTCATTGGGCAGGGGAGGCCACCGTAGCGGAGCAGCCACAGGGCAGGGACCACGCGAAGCACACCATGGTGCCAGGAGGAAGTCCGTGTGAGCGCGGAAGGCCTCTGAGGCCACGGCACCTCCCTTCCTCAGTGAGCGCAGGGAACGGAACCGCCAGCAGGTGGCCAGGCATCAGGCCTGCTCTCCGGCCAGGACCGACTTCCCGTGGAGGCCGGGGGGTCCCGGAGGCCCAGCACAGACCAGCACCCGCGCCCCTGCCCTCGCCACCCCCCCACAGCACACCGCCTCGCCCCGACTCACCCAGGTAGGCCAGCCGCCTCCATGACGTTGGCCAGGGTCACGTCATTGGACCACACGTCGTACTGCCACTTGCGCAGGCCCAGGACCCCGCAGAGGACCCTGCCTGTGTGCAGCCCCACGCGCATGTTCAGGTCCACCTCAGTGGCCTCGGCCACAGACCTGCAACAGACGAGTCACGGGCATGGGGCTGGGCCCTTGTCCACACACGCACAGGGGAGCCCGGCCAGGTGAGAGCACGGGGTCTCCTGACCTTAGCCTGACCCCCGGGCAGGGCCCCAGGTGGCCAGGGCCCCTCAGCCCCCCAGCCACCGCGCACCCCACACTGTGTCCACGTCGCCCCCTGCCCCCTTCCCACCCAGGGCAGCCCCTGAAGGCAAGCAAGCCTGGGACCTCAGATCAGAGCCCCCGATCCGCTCTGTGACCCGCTGACCCAGAGGCCAGGGTGATGACCGGCCAGGAGCATCTGACAGTCTCCGTGGCCCAAGCGCCCTGGGGGACAGCTGGGGTTTGACCCCAAGCTCCAGACCTGGCCTGTGGAGAGGCTGTCACTCCAAAGTCGTGGCCCGACCCCCAAGCAAACTATACGGGATGGAAAGTGGGCCTCGACACACATGTGGACATGGAATCATTCGGCAGGTCCCGGGGCGCAGGTCACCCCTGGCTGAAGAACACAGGACAGTGTGCATCCCCACGGTGCCCAGGGGAGATGGCCTATGGTCGGCAGCCACAGCAGGGCGACCCTGCAGGACGCTCTGTGGGAGAAGGGGTTCCCTGCAGCCATGGGGGGATCCAGGGGGGTGTCCCACCCCATTTCCCAGCCCCTGGACGTGCCACCACAGTCAGACACAGGAGGCACATGACACACTTTGTCCAGGCAAAGGGGACGTGTGGCTGTGCTGACGCCCTCCGGTGCTGTTTTCCTCGTTCTGACTTCCCCAACGGGCAGAAGTTGTGTTATTAAGGAAAACTCTAAACCATGCCACTGAGGAGGCAAGAGCAGGCTGTCTGGTGGGCTCCCAGGGACAGAAGTGGGCTGCACAGGAGGGACAGGGCAGTGTCCGCAGTGACCCCCAGGCAGGTGTGCCCGACAGGCCTCCCAGGTCAGCGGCCAAGCCCAACCAAGAAGGGCCAGGAGGCCAAGCCGAGGTGCAGGACACGAGGGTCCCATGGCTACGATGCCTATCACGAGGGGGAAGGGAGACCGGCCGCCACCCTAAGGCCGGCTCCACCAGACAACCCACCCTCTGCCCCCTTCCAGCGGAAGGTACCCTGCGGCCCAGCCACGTGCAGACCCCCATAAGCTCAACGAAAACTCCGCTTCCTGCTTTGACGCTGGAGCCAATTCATGTGCACCGCCTTGTCCCAAACACGAGCTGGCCCAGCCGAGATGCAGTCTCCAGGAAGCCCTCCCAGACCTGCACCCCCAGTCCCTGAGGGCTCATCACTGGCGCCAGTACAACAGGGTCCATCAGAGACTGTTCCCAGCCACACCCTGACCTCCCGGCAGGCTGACCCAAATCACCAGAGACGAGGGGGTGCCTGGGCTCTTAAAACATCTGAAATAAAAACCCTAAAGGAAGACAAGGGGCTTCAACAATGAAACAAAGGTGTTCTGTCCAGAACATACGGACAGGACACTGACTGCGTCCTGGGGAGGACGAGGTCCGGAGGCTTTGGCTCTCAGAACCTCACACAGGCAAGGCAGCCACTCCTCATGGGGAGGGGATGGGAGCAGAGCCCACACTGGGAGACACCAGGATTTCTAGGGAAATCCCACCGGCCCAGCAACTATGACCACACCAACCACTGCCCTCTCTGAGCCTCAGTTTCCCTGTGTGCAATCCAGGGAGGGGCTGAACGAGTGCCAACAGGCTCTGACAGCAGCCGAGCTACCCTGGTGCCTCCAGGCTCAAGGCCACGGCCACGGCCTGCTAACTCCTACTCTGGCAGGTGCAGGTGTGGGTGGAGACACGGGAGAGGGTCCACGAGGACTCAGGATGCTCCACGCCACTGCTGGGGGTCCCAACGTGGGGCCTTCAGATGCCCATTCCTCTTGCCGAAACCACCCCGCCCGAGGACGGTGCCCCCTGGGCCCAGCTTGCCATGGCCCCGACTTCCATGTGCAGACTGCCCGCCGCTCCCGCCAGGTTCCCGCCAGCTGGGCCACCCTGCCCCCAAGGGGCCTCATGCAATCCTGGACCCACCTCCCGTCGGGGGCCCACCGCTGCCCACCGCGTCCACCAAGGGTTCGTCCCCCAGAACCAGAGGTGTTCACGGGCGCATTCAGAAGTCCGTGTGCCACAGACCGTTCAAAGGGTTACTTAGAAGTCTGACTGTGGATGTGTCTTCAACACCTATTTAGTTTTACACATATGAAACATATTTTTCTCTTAATTATAATTTTTTTCAGTCATTTGCCAACCTCTACCTAGAGGCACTGAGACAAAACAAAAAAAAGATAAGATTAAAATTTGGGGTAGTTTTTTTTTTTTTGAAATTTGCAAAAAGAAAAGAACGTAGGGAAAGATGAGTAAGAAAATTTGCAAATGGTGTTTCTGTGCGTTTTCAGCATTTGCGCCCTCTGCAGCCGGGAAGGGACAAAGGGCATGGGGACCCTGTCTGGCAGCCACATGTAGCGTGCAGCATGCCGCCAGCCTCCAACCAAAGTCTGCAGCCCAGACACCCCACTGGTGGGCTCTGTCTCTCCCCTCTTCCAGAAGGTTCTGCCTCAAACACCTGAGTTCTGTGTCAGCAAACGTTCAGGCACCTGGGCAGGCGCTTCTCAACAGATCGTGCGTCAGGAACTGTCTCCCTGAGACACGCTGGCCAGGCACAGAGATAGCCAGGGGCCTCCAGGACCATCGGAGGCACCTTCCCTCCGGAGCCCAGCTCCGACCTGGTTACATGGGCGTCGGCGCCCCGAGGACCACACAGCCCCGCCAGCTCCAGCATGGGTCCCAGAAGGCAGAGCACAGGCCGCTCGCTTCCCCTGACCCAATACCGCAAACCAAACACGCAGCCACGTCTGTGTTACGTCTAATAGCAACACGGCCCCTGGCCTGCTTCTGGTCTGGCACATGATGTGCTGAGGCCTGTGACAGACGGGGCTACCCCACGTGAGTGCACAATCGCCCGCTGCTGGAGGCACACAGAATCCAGACGCTCTGGAGCCGGAGGGGACCTTGCAGAGGAGTCTCCGCACCCCACTCACTGAGCCGGCCCCCTTTTCTGGGCGGGGGGTAAGTCAATGTCCCAGTGGCTGGGGAGCCAGCAGAGTGCAAGGGCCGGCCTGCGGGGAGAGCCCCCGGCCCCGGGAGCTGTGCCCACCACCCAGGGTGAGGGCCCGGGCCCCCACCTCCACATCGGGACTCGTGATGTGGCCTTAACATGCAGCGGGTAAATATTCCCATCCATTATTCCCACAGGAGCAAACTTCCCACCAAGTGCAACACATGATCCTTCCCACCTGCTGGACAGGATCCTCGGCCCCTCCACACTCAGGGGGGTCAGCACCCAGCCGGGCACAGGCTGCACGCGTCTGCTCTTGAGGAGATCTCTTCTGTCACCGTTAACTCATCCGGCTCTGCTCCGTCCAGCAGCAGCAAACGCCCAGCCCCTCACGAGCCCATCCTGAGCTCATGTCAGGGGACTTTCGTGTTTGCACAGTGCGTGACCCTAGCGAATGTGCTGCCGGATGACAGTGGGTCTACACCCCGGGGCGGAACTAGCAGCATCTCCCCCCCCGATCCTGAGCACCCAGAACCATACACGGGGTCCGCATGAGACGCTTCAGCAATCTCATAACTGACCCAAACCATCCTTCGGCCTCTGGGTCTCCCCCGTCCACTGAGAGGCCCCCCCGGCCTGGAGCGGACCTGTCCGTGGCCTGACCGGGGACGTCTGCAGGCACCATTTTCCTGCTGGTCACCCACAGCCCGGTGCAGCTGCCCAGGGCCACCAGGGACCCCGCAGGGATGGCGCTCCTCTGGAGAGCGCAGGTGGAAGACGGTGGCCTCAGGACAGAAGATGTGGCTGAGAATACAGACCTCGCTCCCCGGGCTCCATGGGCGGCATGCACAGCCTGGCCAGAGGCCCAGACGCCCACTCCGGCCACCACCCTGGTCCTCCTTTCTTCTCCAACAATTCTTGTGTTTCCAAAGCTCCAGTCAAAACTTTCGCTCTGCGATCAGTGTGTCTGGGCAGACCCACCTTCGGGTAAACAAATTCTGTCCTGCATGTGTTCTGTGTGTCACCCGGGGACAGTGTGGCCAGCGAGGAAAGCCGCCAGAGGACCAGGAGTGGCATCCTCGGGAAGCAGTCCCGGCCTGAAGCCCAGCCATGCAGCAGACACACACTGGCCTACTCTGTGGTACCCAGAAGGGCTCATCTGTGCAGGAGACCACCTCTAAGCTGTGACCCTGGTGGCCTTCATTTCTGTGCAGAGCCAGGGCCTGGGCCCAGCAGGGACTCCCAGTTTGTCAAGACAGAGACCTGGCATGCTCTGGGCATAAGAAGCTGGGGCAGGGGGCAGAGGGCAGCCTTCAAAAGCCAAGCAAGATGCCCCCAGCCCTGTGGGGGACCACGTCAGAGGGCAAGACCTGGAGTCGAGGTGTCAGGGCCTGGCAGGACCCCAGGGACTGGGAGTCCATGAGAGAAGGCAGGAGGCACAGCCACAGGGACCCTATTTCCCGGAGCAAACAGACCAGGGATAGGTCCACGTCTCCACACGGCACAGTGCGAGGCCAAACCCAAGGGCAGATGACACACCCACAGGACTTCCAAGTGCGGGCACCACTCCAGGTGAGGCCCAGAGCCCATGAGAGCACAGCCCGTGTCTTAAGTGCAGGGGCCTGGGTGGCCGTGCTTGGAGGCCCCACCTGGTAAGGAAGCTCAGGGTTTGAAGGGCACCAGGCTGCCACAAGGACCTGGGGGGGGGGGGGGGTACCAGCATCATCTGCCTGATTCAGGGCACCATCTGCCTGGCCCAACTCCAAGAGCCGTCTGCTGCCCCAGTCAGGCCCCTGTCTGGCTCACAGGCTCCTATGTGCACCACGCGACCCCCGCCTGCATTTGTGCCTGCGACCCTAATGCGGCCCCACTTTACCCCAGGGGATCACACAGGAGATGGAGGCGCTACAGGGCACATTCCGTACTCTGTGACGCAGCACACGATGCGATGTGATGTGACAGGTGATTGGTGTCACTCATGTGTGACGCACTGACATGTGACAGGACGTGTGGCATGTGGTGTGACAGAGGTGGCACACAGACGTGTGGCATGTGGTGTGAACAACACGGGGTACCCGTGATGGGGCACGCTCTGCTCTGACGGGACAGGTGACCCAACATGACGCCCTCTCGGAGAACAGACGTCATCAAGCCTCCGAGTCCCGTGCACAGCGAATCTCTGCTTCCTCCCCGACCTGCCTGCCCTGCCCTCAGCCTCCTCGAGAGCATGTGCTCTTGTGTTTGGATGCACGCGGACTCACCGGGGCCCCGACCACCCCGACCCTAACACTGGGCCCATGGCGGCCACCAAGGCACCAGGACCGCGCCGCCCTGCCCCCTCCAGGGCCCCCTCGCTCACTCTCGACAAGAAGAGGGCGCCAGGCTGGGTGCTGGCGAGGGCCAGTCTGCAGGTGCCGGGTCTGCGAGGTCCGCCCCCCTCCAGGGCCCCCTTGCTTGCATTTCTCTGTCCCTCAGTCATTTGTGTCCCGCAGACGACAACTCAGCTGCCACTTCTGGGCTCCGACTGTGACGCACATACCAGTCGCTGGGCCGCGCCCACGTCTCATGCTGCCGAGATGCCGGAAGGCGGGCCCTCCACCTTCCAGCCCCACACCCTCCTGACCCACAGGCACTCTGCATCCACTCAGAATGAGACGAGGCTGGACAAGAAGGGGGCACAGCAGGGCACAGTGCTCCCGGGATGCGCACCTGCTCCGGCCAGGCCTCCCCCCACAGAGAGCACATGGATAGCCACACCCGGGAAGGCAAGAACACACAGTTCCTTCGAGTGGAACTCAGCTGGATGTGAGCCACGGCTCCCCAGCGCAGTCCCCCACCGGGGTGTGTGGTCTGGCTGAACAATGAGTGACCTCTTTGCGCAGAATTACTGCACACCTGACGATACCCAGGGTGGTCACGGACAAAGAAACGCTGTCCCGGCAAATTGCAGAGGAGGGGGCCACGGAGGCACAGCTCAGGAGGGAGCCCTCCCGCCACACCTCCCCGTGCAGCGTGGCTCTCCACAGCCCTGGGACCTGGCCCCCAGGACCCACCAGCCAGGTCGGCACAGGGTGCGGGCACTCACGTGATGGTGTCGATCATGTCCAGGCCCATCTCCACGCAGCAGTGGGCGTGGTCGGTCTTGGGCTGGGTGAGGCCGGACACACAGTAGTAACAGTCCCCTAGGATCTTGATGCGGCGACAGTGATTCTCCTTGGGGGCAAGAGGGCAAACCGCACGTTAGTGACGCAGCCGGGGCTAGGGACCCACACCTTTGCCAGCACGGGTGCCGGTGACCACGGAGTACGCCCCAAGACCCCACACCCCCAACCCAGGGGACCCCCTCCCCAGGCCAGGGCAGCCTCAGGAGGGTGGGCAGCCCCCAGGGCTGTGACCGGGGTCACCCTGGGGCACCCACGCTCCCCCGAGGCCTATTCCCCTGCAGGCATCCCCCTGTCCATCCCTCAGCTCACCTGGAAAACCCCGCAGACAATTCAAGGTGGGGAAGCCCCAAGCCCGGAGCCAGCTCTTTCCCGGGGGGCAGGGGGTGTCTCCCAGGTGGGCCAGCACGACGCCCCTTCTGACCGCCACCTCGGAAGGCCACACATCCACACCATCTGTGGCCATGACCCCACCACACACACACACACACACACACACACACACACACAC